ATTCTGGGCAATTCCAGACATTCCAAGTTTAGTTTTTTACTTCCCAATCCTCATCCTAAATTTCCAGGTTGGTTTTCTCACCTCCCACTTCTCTGGAATTCTCAAATTCCCAGATTTATTTTCTCACCTCCCAGTTCTCTGCAATTCCAGACTTTCCAGGTTTATTTTGTTACTTCCCACTTCTCATCCAAAGTTTTCAGGTTTGTTTTCTTACTTCCCAAATCTCCAGAAATTCCAGACTTTCCAGGTTTATTTTCTCACCTCCCAGTTTTCTTCCAGACTTTCCAGCTTTGTTTTCTCCCCAAGTCCCATCCAGACCTTCCAGGTTTATTTACTTATCTCCCACTTCTCTGCAATTCCAGACTTCCCAGGTTTATTTCCTCTCCTCCCACTTCTCTGGAATTCCAGACTTCCCAGGTTTATTTCCTCACCTCCCCGTTCTCTGGCATTCCCAACTTTCCAGATTCCTTTCCTTCCCTTTTAACTGAGGCCCTGGAATATCCCCAGATTTTTCCCTTCATTCCTTCCCTCTCTTCCCCTTCCAACATTTCCTTATTAATTTTCCAAGTTCGTTCTCCAGGCTGGAAAATCCATCTCCTTCCCCTTTTCCTGCTGGAAAAATCCTTCCTTCCTCAGGTTTTCCGCTCTTTTCCTTTTGTTCCCAGCTCTGACAGGAACATTTGGGATCATTCCCAGGCTCCTGTTCCCTTAAAAATTCCATAGAAAATCAGTGGGAGAGCTGAAGGTCCCTGGATTGATCCAACCAGGATATTTTCCCGGGATGGAGTCGCCCTTTTTCCCCGTTCCAGCTGAAATCCAACCTTGGATTCTCCTCCCTGCTTTTATTCCCGTCGGATTTTAGGGAAGAGGGTGAGCAGGCAGAGGGATCCCCTTTGGGAAGGGCTTCCTGGAGGATCCCAGGTGGATTCCCAGCTCCCTCCCCCTGGAAAAGCCTCGATTTTTCCTTGGTCTGTCATTCCTGGCTCACTTGAGGGTGGAAAAGTCTCCTTAAAATCCAAGGAATGAAGGAGGAGACACGGAAAGGTTTGGGCAGGAGGGAAAGAATTCCAGGCTTTTCCTCTCTATTCCTCTCAGGGAACTTTAAGTACAAACATTTGGGAATTGTTTTCCAAGGGAAATCTGCCCAAGGGAAGGAAACCAAGGGGAATTTCCCTTGGGAAGAGCTTTTGTGGGAGGATTTCCAGGTGTTGCAGGGAATGAGATCCCACAAGGAAGGAGATTCTCCCTTTCCCTGCTCGGATCCTTCCAGAGCCATTTCCCTGTGCTTCCCTATCCCTAAACACCAATTCCTTGGAAAACCCTCCCAGCAGGTGCATCCCAGACCCTTGGACACATCCCCAGCCCTTTAAATGTCCCTGTTCCCTGAGCTGTATTCCCTGTGTCCCTGTATTCCCTGTTTCCCTGTGTTCCCTGTTTCCCTGGAGCTGTATTCCCTGTTTCCCTGAACTGTGTTCCCTATTCCCTGGAGTTGTATTCCCTGTTCCCTGGAGCTGTATTCCCTGTTTCCCTATATTCCCTGTTTCCCTGGAGCTGTATTCCCTGTTTCCCTGGAGCTGTATTCCCTGTTTCCCTATATTCCCTGTTTCCCTGGAGTTGTATTCCCTGTTTCCCAGAGCCGTATCCCTATTCCCAGAGCCATATTCCCTATTCCCAGCTCCTCGTTCCCTGTTCCCTGGAGCTGCATTCCCCATTCCCATCCCTCATTCCCTGTTCCCAGAGCCGTATCCCTATTCCCAGAACCGCATTCCCTATTTCCAGACCATATTCCCTGTTCCCAGAGCCATATTCCCTATTCCCAGCACCTCATTCCCTATTCCCAGCTCCTCATTCCCTGTTCCCAGAGCCATATTCCCTGTTTCCCTGTATTCCCTGTTCCCTGGAGCTGCATTCCCCATTCCCATCCCTCATTCCCCATTCCCATCCCTCATTCCCCATTCCCATCCCTCATTCCCCATTCCCATCTCTCGTTCCCTCTTCCCATCTCTCATTCCCTATTTCCAGAGCTGTATCCCCATTCCCATCCCTCAATCCCAATTCCCATCCCTCATTCCCTGTTCCAGGCCATCGCTGTGTCGCCGACAGCTCCAACCTGTACGTGTTCGGGGGGTACAACCCCGACTGTTCCCTGTTCCCAGAGCCCATTCCTTGTTCCCATCCCTCATTCCCTGTTCCCATCCCTCATTCCCTGTTCCCAGAGCTGTATCCCCATTCCCAT